TCTGCTATTAATCAGTGGACCTTTCAGTAGTAGGCATATCGTAGAAGAGAATTACTAATGGGCATTGACCTCCGAAGTACTGTAGAAGTACAGAGATAATAGAGTGTGTTTTTTTGTGGATGAAATATGGGTATATAGAACGACTAGGAAAAAGGTGTGATATCGAAATTCCAAAAGAGGAAGCATGTTATAAAGATATCCTGTTTCTTTCCTGTATTTCTTATGTAAAACCGGATTTAAACTTTCAAAACGTTTCTACAATGTGTATTTAGGCTTCATCAATACGGTATTGCGAATGCATCAATAGTCAATCAGTCAATTGATTGAATAACGCTTTTGTATCATCGGCACACTTTTTTAGTGTAACCTTACAATGACTAGACAATAATTAATTGATATAGAGAAAACACAAAATAAAAAAAAAAAAATATGTTCTCTCTTATAAAGTATAATGAAAATAACCTGATGGAAAAAAAAAATCAATAGGAAAACTAAGAGGAACAATGCATCGAAAAAATGGGGGGGGGGGAGAATAGCCTGGGCCGGGAATAACTCTCCAGGTAGAAAAAAATCAGTGGGGAAAATTAGCGTCATAGTGCTATATTCTGTAAAGTAAAGCCTCAAACCACCTCAATTTTGAGTCTACTAAATTTTAAAATCTTCCCAGGCTTTTGCAGATATAGCAAGAACTAACTTAATATAACAATTTCTCCCATATTACAGAAACTTCTTTGTTGAAACTAATACAGAAACAAATTCTTTTGTATTTAAATTATTTTTTTAAAATGAATTAAGAAACATTAGAACATTCAAGATTAAATACAATAAAAATAACAAGCTTCTTTTCTTTTAACTTTTGGTAGTTAATATATATATTAGGAATTTCGTTGTCTTTATTTATAATGAGAAAATTATTTATCAAAATATTTAATTTAATTTGTTTTTATTTTTGGATAACTTCATGGATAATCATACGCGCCGCCAAAGCTTTTGGAGAATTGAATCTCAAACGCGATAACGAAAGCTCTCTAATGACTCAAGTTACTGCATGATTGTTTTATAATTTTAATAAAACTAATTTCTTCTAATTTTAAATATATTTTCCCTGAATTCGTGATTATTCGTCGTCATGCATGGACTAAATGCGTGACAAATTTAAGATCACGCATGTGTTTCTGCCAAATGCGTGTTACATCCAAAATCACTTTGAAGCGGGACTGTCCCGCACGATGCACAAGAAACGGTTGGTAATGCGTTTTGTAAGCCAGGAACCAACAGTATTTTGTTACGTTTCTTCACAGAGGGGGGTTCGTTTGAACCCCCTGGATCCGCCACTGCTTTTCATTGACACCAATCATGACCATGTTTTATGTGGTGCGTCAGCCATCTTGAAAGGCCGATGACTTTGGGGAAAAAATGGCACCTAACTTTTTTGAATTCAGCGCAGTAAAAATGATAAAATTAGTCAATAAATCTATTTTTGCTCAAAAATCTATCTGGATTACATAGAAAACTAGCTTATGTATACTCGTTCTTATTTTATGTACATTTTAAGTAAGTATATTTTGCGATTATTTTTAAACAAATAAACACCAATTTTTAAATTATGTTGCATTCTGGCTTGAGTGACAGTAGTTTGTATATGTCTAGATTGTTGCCTGTCTAGAAATTATGAGTTTAGACACCAAAATCATATCTGTAGCTTATTTAGTTTCTGTAGCTTTATCTAGTTTAGTTAATTTTATGCACATTTTAGATAAATTTGGCGGCCATTTTGAAAAATGGCCGCCATTTGTATACAAGGAGTAAAATCAAGTGTCAACAGGGCTTAGGGTGACCAGAAGGGATTAATTAGGATATCTGGCTATGTGGATTGCTTCTAACATTCCACTCCCCCTGACTCATTTTTTTCAAATTTTTTTCTAGTCTATATGGTAAAGTTTATTAATTGCGCATATGATACTGTACCTCAAAAACTAGCTCAAATTTGCACCAAAAATCGCTAGGGAAATAAGTGCATAATTGTAATTAAAATAATTTACAGTATAGCCTAATAATTCTTTGTCTTCAATTTTATTGACAGTAAATGCTAAAAAGGTATCGGGTTATCTTGGAGTCCCTGATCATCGTATGCAATGAGAAATCATGATGTGGTTTAGTAGACTGACACGACATCAACAATTCAACATCTTCCCAGGGTCACAATGGTTGGCAAGAGTCAAATTTCTTGTCACGAGTTGCTCTTATCAGGTGAGATGCTTCCTTAAGGATCCTATCTTTTTAAGTTATGAAAAAACCTAGTGAAGGACTGCATTGAACTCTGTTGACTTGCTAGCTAAAAACACAAGGTGGTGAAATAAGGCTGAACACTTTGAAATGATCAGGCTGCGCTTCTCACATTCTAAGCCTACATTTACAAGATAGTGATTTCTGGAGCCATCGCACAATACCCAAACTAACCCAAGACATGTGGAGTATTGAGTCTGCAGCCCCACAGAGTGTAATGTTCACTAGTGTGGCTGTTTCATTGTACTGATCAATTATGTGTAATTCACCATGTTAGCTATTGTCAGCTAATTGTTGATGATAATCAATGTGATATCTAGGGGAAGGAGGCTTACGCCCTCTTAAAGAAAGCTCACTCTCCAGGGGTGGATCCAGGGGGGGGGGTTCATGGGATTTGGACGAACCCCCCTCTGTAAAGAAATGTAAGAAAATACTACTGGGTCCTGGCTTGCAAAAGGCATGCTGAAACCTCAGTGGCGGATCCAGAAATTTTCTGACTGGGAGGGGGGCACCAATAGGTATTCCACACCCGCCTCAGCCCCACCATGGTTAGGGCTGAGGCCCTCTAGACGCTCGAAATTGGCACTCTCAGATGGTAAAAATATGCTTTTTCAAAGCAGTGTTCCTCGACAAAAAATTATTGACTTCCTCTCGACGGGAGCTATGCTCCCCCTCTCCCTCTCCCCTCACGGGCATCGCAAAGGTCTAATCAAGGACCTATAGTCTATTCGATACTGGGAGTCGCAAAGAAAATTATGATTTTGTTTCCCATTCAGATTTAAAATTTGATTACTTTATCTCCATTTAAAAAAAAATGTTTACAAATGCAAGGGTCCTGGCCGGCTGGGCAACCCACCCCACTGGATTAATGCTATATGTCCTACAGTCAGTGACACATTATGCTGTTTTGTATCAGCAAAGCCCTTTTGGATCAGGGTGCTATAGAGCCAGGACCCTACTGGACAATAAGGTAATGCATGCAACAAAAAAGTGACTAATTGGAAAACTACCTCTGATTTCAGAATGAAGGCAACATCATTTTAATGGGCAGTCCAGGATCTGGGAAGACCACACATGGCAGGAAGCTGTCGCAAAGACTTAAGATGCCAGTGCTGGATATTGATGATGATCATCTGGAACCCTTCTGGCAGATGAAAGTGTCACAGAAAGTGAGTATTTAACTTCTTGGCGCATACATTTTGAATATAATCTTTTATCAATATTATAGTTTAAGTTTAAGGTTTATTCTAATTTTATTGTTGTGAAAATAAACATAAAAACAAGAACAAAAATTGCTTTTACCATGAAGCTCTGATAAGGTAAAAGTACATTATTCCCGTCAGACACCATCCTGGTATATCTGAGTGTCTGTAGTGTCCATGTCCCCCTCGTCGACATAGGCACTATGTTATCGTCTGGCAGTTAATCTTGTAAGAGTGTGTAAATCGGGTGGAGGTGCATGATGGGTACTACTACCACGAGGTAGGGGGCGCAGAAAATTTTTTCAAAACTTTTGATACGAACGCCTTTTGAAGGACGCCCTCTAGATCGTGGTAGTACTTTTGGAGATACAATAATAAGAGGATTGCATTTCAACGACATAACCCCGAGACCAAGAGTTCAATTCTTTGGTTCTACCTAAATGTGTGAAACCAAACATTGTGTGCAGAAGTATACGATTACGAACTGTTTCAGAAAAAGCTCCAGAAGGAAAAACCTCTCATCTTATATACATGAGCCCTAGAACTCCAGAGCCATCCGAAGCATTCTATATTACCAAAGTTCCTCATTGGTCACATTACATCATAATTACCCAGTAGGCTTCTTGTTTCTACAGTACTTAAGTATCTAGAAGCTTCCAAACATTACTCTTTTGAATTCCACATGGTCTCTTGTATTTATATAATTACCAATGTGGTTTACACTGTTTGTTTAGTCAAATAAATGTTATTCTATAAGGTTCTATGTATTAAATATGTTACAATAAGGAAATGAATGGTAATTTATTACTATAGTACAGTACAAGGCAATAGACACACCCTCCCACTGGAACCTATTTTAGTTAATGTCTTTTACACTGCAATGATAATGTAATAACACTTTAACTACTGAATTTTACTAAATTTGACAAAATTCTCCTCTGTGGGACATCATTCCAGATTTTCAAAGTTTAAATAAAAGATATTGTAAGCTTTTTCCACACTATCAAATTTTCCCATATTTGGACACAACAAGCCCATACATGGGCATATCATACAAATCTGTCACATTAAATCTGATAGGAAGGTGGACAGAGTTTAAAGAATTATTATTGTTTGTGATAACTATTGCTGTTCATTTTTAAAAATATGTTTTGGACAAGATGTCATTATGTGTGGTTATTATTAACAGGTCTTATTTCATATGTATCTATTATTTAGCTGAGTGAAGTTGGAGGGGAAAGATTTTTAGAGGCTGAAGGAGAAGCACTCTTGCAGTTTAAAGCTTCCAACACAATCGTCTCCCTGACTGGTTCCAACCCGCTTCACCCTGAAGCAATGCGTTATCTGTCTCTTATACACATCTAGATGTGTATAAGAGACAGGAGTCTGCAGCCCCACAGAGTGTAATGTTCACTAGTGTGGCTGTTTCATTGTACTGATCAATTATGTCAATACAAAAACAGGTCTGTCTCTTATACACATCTGGGTGACCCTTCCAGCTTATCCTAAAAGATCGGCTGATATTCAGGAGCCCTCTTAAAAAAAATGAAATAATGTGATGCTTTTATCAGCAAATCCTTTATATTAGGCTTAGTGGAGTTGTTTTAATGAGAAACAGTCCTGCTATCACAGGAAATGAACTCAGGACCCTGGGTTAGAAGGCAAGCACCTTTTAAAACTGCCAAGCTATTCAACTTCACTTCTATCTCTCAAATGTTTCTCTCAATATTATAATCATTTCAATCAAATCGAATCTGCATTTAAAAACCCTCATTCTGGTGCTTGTGAGTTTTGAATAAATTAGCATATTTACGTGCGTTAATGACTGCTTGGTAGACTGCCACTGGCTGTTATGCCATGCAATGTGCCTGTCTCTTATACACATCTCTTGTGCCTAAAGAAATACTGTACACATTGTTACATTTACCACAATAAGATAATTTCCAGATGATAACCTTCATGTCGCCTCAAAGACTAGAAGGAGCTCATATTTCATAGGAATTCATGAAATTCTCTCATTAATTTAGCTAGCACTATCCTAAAAGATATCCCATAAAATCTATGTAAAATCATATATTGGAAACATTTCTTAATTTATCAAAAATCACTTGTACTCTTTTTCAGGGATTGATGGTGATTTTGACTTTTGCCAATCTGCCATCAAAAAGATTTTCAGTGATGAAACCCTGAACCAAGAACTGCTTTCAAATTATAACTTAAAGCTTAGTGCAGCAAACTCCATTAACTGGGGGCGATTACTTCCCCAAATTGTCTACCATGCATCTGGCTACCTAAATATGGTTCACCAAGGGGTTATTGCTATGGGAGATGACCTTGATGTGTGCATACCAACTGGTAACTTTGGCAACATCCTCGGAGCTATTTATGCAAAGGTGAATATGTTTATGTCATCCAACTTATAACCCATTGGCACTCTGTTATATATGTGGTCATTGGAAAGCCATAGAAATTGTTCAGATATTTAGCATCCAGGCGCAGATTTAGCAAGGAGAAGGGGTTCAAGCCAACCCCAGCTTCCCATTCGGAAAGTAAAAAAAAAGAAAGAATGAAAAAGAAATTATTGATCGCACAAAAGGCCTCAGAGGATATTTCCGGGCATCTAGAAAACAAAAGTTTCGTAGGGCCATGCCCCCTTGGACCCCCTAAGGTAGTGTTGTTGTCTCTCAATAGCTCCCCCACCCCTTCTGGGTCTGTCTCTTAATCGGACATCTGGATCTGCACCTGGCATGTAAAGCTTAATCCACACTATCACATTTTTTTTTGACAACATAGGGTTGTGATGTGATGTCATCATGACCATATTTGGGCATGTCACTTGTTTTGGTAAAGTAAAATAGTAATAATAATAATAATAATAATAATAATAATAACAACAAATACTTATATAGCGCCAATTCAAAAATTTATCAAAGGCGCTAGGTGAGGAAATAAAGCAAGTTAACGTTCTAGTAATAGGTAAGTTTTAAGATTTTTTGAAGAAAGCAAATTAGACGAATCGCGAACAAAAAGCGGCAAGGAATTCCATTTAAAGTTGGCTTGAAAAAAAAAAAGCATGTTGACCATAAGTCTTTGATTTGCCTTTACGAGACGGAATAGTCAAGAGATTTTGAGGTGAAGAACGAAGAAATTGCTATATTTACACATAGAAATTCCATATAAGAGGAAATTCAACATTTTTTGGATTGTTTTTTTCATACAGTGTATTAACAATAACATTATATAACGTTATCAGTGAGTAATGTTCCTGTGAGTAGTAAGTATTCTTCCCAAAGTAAATATCTAAAATATCAACTTTTTTCCAGCAAATGGGAATTCCTTTCCGTCGTTTTATTTGTGCTTCCAACAAGAACAATGTACTGACTGAGTTCTTCAGGTCTGGAGTTTATGATTTAAGACAAAAGTTGTTGAGAGTGACAACCTCACCAGCAATTGACATACTGAAGTCTTCAAATCTTGAAAGGTACAGTACTCAAAATAACAGAAGTATGATTTATATGAAAAGTGTTATTTTAGAGTACACAACATTCACGAAAATAGATCACAAAAGTCAGAAGTGACGTTGTTGATCTATGGGTGAGATACTAACCTGGATGAATGCCCTTCTGTCTCCACGATGGCAATCTCCAAGAAATTGAGGTTGGTTTAACATTGATGCGTTACATACAGTAATGCCAATGTTAATGATTCCATTGTTTTTATAATGGGCGATTTCTGGTAAAATTAGAACATTTTTTTTGGGGCCTTGAAATGGTTTCAAGTCTGTATCTGTCTATGGTGTTCCTTTGGGAAGGCAAATTTGCATTAAAGCGCATGGAGAACTCGAATAATACTTCCTCTGAAAGATAAGAAGATGTGTGCTCTTTTTGCAAGATTATTATCCATGCCCTTAACTAGATTTCTTTTGAAAGTCCATGGCTGGAGTCAAAACCTGTTGTCAAGAGGGTAAAGCTCTTTGGACCCAAAACATTCTGGCATGTAACTGGTGAATTTTGTGGTTTGGTTTGACAGAAGGTTTGCTAAAAAATTGTTGCTGTGCTGAACTATGGAAACACACTGGTTACTGACTCGCCAAGAAACTGAAACTGAAATTTTAGCATGTAGTCAAAATGTTTTAATAAGATAGTAGGGCAAATATTTATAATCATTATAATTTATAACTTTAGGTATTTATACATGGTAACAGACAATGACAGTAGTGAAGTAAGGCGTTGTTTTGACCAGCTTTCCAAAGGCAACTTCTTCCAAGTATCGCAAGATGTACTGGAGAGGATGCAAAGAGACATCTTAGCTGATTGGTGCTCAGAGGAAACCTGCTCAAAAACAATCAATGATGTCTTCCAAAAAACTGGTAAGATTTTTTTTGTTGTTTTAAATATAGAGGGTGACCCTTCCAGCTTATCCTAGAAGGTCGGCTGATATTCAGGAGCCCTCTTAAAAAAAATGAAATAATGTGATGCTTTTATCAGCAAATCCTTTATATTAGGCTTAGTGGAGTTGTTTTAATGAGAAACAGTCCTGCTATCACAGGAAATGAACTCAGGACCCTGGGTTAGAAGGCAAGCACCTTTTAAAACTGCCAAGCTATTCAACTTCACTTCTATCTCTCAAATGTTTCTCTCAATATTATAATCATTTCAATCAAATCGAATCTGCATTTAAAAACCCTCATTCTGGTGCTTGTGAGTTTTGAATAAATTAGCATATTTACGTGCGTTAATGACTGCTTGGTAGACTGCCACTGGCTGTTATGCCATGCAATGTGCGTCTAAATGTAGAGCAATTTTGCAGGGCTCCAAAGTTTCCCGGATTGTTCTGGAGTCTCCAGGAATTTTGGTTCATCTCCCAGGTCTCCCGGAAATTCCACATTTTCTCCCGGAATTTGAATTTCTCTTGTATTTCTCCAGGATTTTAACAGATTTGCACAATTAGGGCTTACCTCTAAACTAAATTTTCCCATTCTTGCATGCATTAAATCTGGCAGAGAAGATTTTTTAAACATTCTAGGCAGCAATATGGTATTAGCAGTGACCTGAACCTGCCCAAGACTTTTTTTGTTTTTAAGGACACTCATGTCCTTTTGCATTTTAGCTAGTACATGTGTTGCAAACCACTGCCCGTCCTGCACGACAAAATCTCTGGGAATTTGACTTTAACAACTTGGGATCACTGATTTACCTGCACTACCAAACATGCTTGTTGAACTGAAGACCAGTATATAACAATAGAATTGTTCAGTATTTTTGGAGTGCTTGTAGTAGTTTGTTGGTTTGTGTTCTGCAATGGGAAACTCAATTGCCCTGCGTACTACTGTTTAAGTGTATTTTACTGGATTATCTTATTATTTATTTCATTTCATGAGACTTTCATTCAGCTAGCATTCCTGTGCTTCATTACATTTGTTGTTCATTCTTAGCTGTTCATCCTCATAAGTGAGTTGTTAAAGACACACCTCATTTTTAATTACTGTACCTTATTTTAATTGGCCAGTTTTAACCTTGTTTTTAATCTGATTTGGTCGGTTTTTGTTAACTTAGGCCATGCTTCTACAAATATTGTAAATATATGTGGATGGGTGGAATTTTTCGTATCTGTATTCTTAAAAATGATCAAATAGATCGAAACCTTGAATCTCAAAATGCCTCTTTTCAGAGTTACTATTTGTTTTGTATGCTATGCTCCATGTTTTCTTGATGTTCCAATTAATGGTTTTTTTTTTTACTAAGAGTTGAATTTTTAATTTATTTTTAGGATATTTACTTGATACTCATACTGCGGTTGCTAAGGCTGTTGCCGACAGATTCCCAAGTGAATCAGTTCCTATGATGATATGCTCCACTGCCCATTATGGGAAATTTGCTTCCGATGTACTGTCTGCTCTTGGTAGGTCATTTACAAGTGATGACCCCGTTATGCTCTTCCAGGAGTTGAAAAAACTCAAACCGCATCCTATAATGCATCAGGAACTGGAAGAGTCCATTCGCAGACCAAAGGTGCATACAAAAGTACTACCAGCTAATTTGAATGAAATTGTTTCTGAGCTAAAACGTTTTATCGAAAGGGGATATGAGCATGATATCAGTAAAAGGTTAAATTGATAAAGATGCCTAGGCTAGGCCTTTTCAATGCATAGATTGACATCTTTGTCGATGTTGCTTTGGTACCAAAGTAAAGAAAGTCAACCACTTTTTTAATTGTTTATTTCGGTTACAAAAGTCGCATAAGCACCACAGCGCTTATAAAGTTTTTGGGAGCTTTAGTGCGGCATTTGTTCGAGAGCTGAGCTTATTCAAGAGCGCCGCTTAATATTAAAAGATATTGCCGCAGGACTTTTTATGGCTGTTAACATCTCGCGTATTCATGTAGTTCGGCACTGGTACTCGTACAAATAGCCATCTTTTCCAAGACATTCGGCAGATAATGACGTGAAGTCATTAGAAAGTTACGGCTTTTAAAACTATAAAATTTGAAGCGAACCAACAGCAACACTGTAATTATCATAAAGGAGAACAATATAAGGCAGTAATTTATATAAAGTAGGTTGATTTAGTGCATTTAAAATCAAGGTGGCAGTTATTTTCTGTTTCTGTTGAAGGTATCCCTGATACAGTTTCCTATAATTGTGATTATTCGAGAGCGGCACTTATTCAGTGATTTACAGTATTTATTAGTGGTGTTGAGGGTAAAAGCGTCTATGTAAGAAAAAATGATGATTTAATATTTGTTATCAATACAAAAACAGGTACACTGTACTGTACATCCAATGGTTCTTATCATACATCACTGGTTCTTAATTTTTCTAAAAGGGCCAGACTATTTTTTTTAGTTGTGCTCACGAGGCAGAGAATCATCAGAAGCAACTCATTATAATGTTTTTAATAATTTAAAGATGTATTGTCCCCTGAAAATGACAGAAAATTATAAAAAATAATTTTGAAATTGACTTGCTCATTTTACAGTAATATACAAATTATTATTAACTTCAGCATAGAAATGATTGAATTCAAAAAATGTGTAACCTGATTTTTAAACTTCCAGTTTCTATGATTTTTTGCTGTAAAATGATGGGTAAAAATTTTTTAAATACACTGATTTCTATGTTCTGATTGATAATTCTTATTTTGCTTTAAAATGAGCAATTTCATTTGAAAAATGATTTTTTTAAATTATTTTTGCATGGTACCACTGAACACTTTGTGGATATTAGGAACTTTATAAACATTTTTGATTGATTAATTGATAGATTGATAGAGTACATCTTTAAAATAAGGAGTACATATCATATTGTTCTGTTCACATAGTTGATTTTGTCACAATATAAAGGCAATGTTAAAAGATATTGCATCCAGTGTATAACATTGTTATTAATATAAACATTTAAAAAAATTATATAATTCTGTATGTATAATTTACATAGCGGCAAGTTTTTAATAGATGGTAGAAGCATACCCTAGTTGGTCATTTAACTGCCAAACTAAAAGTTGAGACATTTAACAGGTTCAGTATTAAATGAAGGATATTGATATACAAATTCCAATAATTATATAACTAATATTACTGAATCCTAATACTATATTACATTATATAGAACGAATAAGAAATGGGTGTGATATTCATAGGCCAAAAGAGCAAGTATGTTTAAAAGAGATTTCCTGTTTTCTTTCCTCTATTATGTATCGGAACCAGGATGCAAGCTTTAAACTAACGTTTCTACAATGTTTCTTTAACCTTTACCAGTATTGCAAGTGTATTAATAGTCAATTGAGTGGAGAATTCTTGGTATCATTGGCACACCTTTTATGGTTTAACCTTGCAACGACAACACAATAATTGATCTATAACAGTGGCGTAACCCTGGGGCCGGGGGGCCCCTGTGGCTTTTCGAGACTGGGGTCCTTTCTGGTCACGGTAGAGAAATAAAAAAAAAAAAAAAAAGAGCGAAAATAAGAACAAATTAAATATGACCCGCCTGGACTAATAAACATTTTCAGTTGGAAAACTAGGTTGGAAAATACATCGGAAACTGGGGGAAAATAGCCAGGGGGAATATAGCCAGAGGAAAATAGCCGGAGGAAAATAGCTTGGAGGAAGAAGTCACTGGGTGGACAAAATCTCTGAGGAAAATTACTAAATAAAGAAATAAAGCCCATCGGCCATATATTAAGAACCAATATCATACATGATTACGTAACCACAGACCTTATGACATAACCATGTAACTTAATCTTTTGAGTACACTTGCCTAATCTTTTTTTTTCCATTCATGTGAATAATAATTTTCTCATGCATTCGTTTTTGCCGTAAACAGAGTATATTGCTACAAACATATTTAAGATATTTATTAAATTTGTATACATACTTTTATAGACAAAAGAAATTGTTATTTATGTATATTTTTCAGTAGCTTTTCAGTCTAACAACCATTTACTTTAATTCGGGGTATACTGGTAGTAAGATCAGTTTTATAAGCTGTGTTCATCCCCGTCCTAAAGCAAAAGAATGGGAAACAGTCAACTCTCCCCCTAGCAGACTCGCCCCTGACGACCATACCTTCTACAAACTCACCCTCTTGAAAAACTTTCGCCCTACAATCTCTCCCTAACAAACTAAAGTCCTTACAAACTTTGCCGACTGACAGGGGCGAATCTGCTACAGGAAAGTTGACTGGGATCAGGATATATCTGTTACACACATTTTTTGAATAGCACATAGGCTATAACTCTGGTTTTCTTTACAACTATTTAAACATTTTCCATTAATATTTTATAGTTTCATTTATTTATTTAAATTTATTCAACTGTTATTCATTAGTTTTTTTTATATAATGCTTTCCATCATTATTATATAACACAGGAACAATAAACAGTAAAATGTTATAAACAACTTCAGTTCCCAATTTACAATGCATTATGATAATTATCATTATTATTGTTCTGTTTTCATTTAAAATAAAAATATTTTTTATTTCAATTTAGTACTGCACTTAACTCTTCTATTTGTCCAATTTGATGTCGTGATTGTCTGATTTCATTTTTGGAAATTTCAACGTTTGCAATTTTAAAATTATATTTTATTATGATAATTATCATTATTATTGTTCTGTTTTCATTTAAAATAAAAATATTTTTTATTTCAATTTAACTTACAAATGAAAACAATTACATACATCATTTAAATTTTAATTGAGTTCCTTAATTTTAAAAGTAATAAACAGCAGTGTACTACCAAAATATATTAATAAGTAATCAGAAATAATTTTCTGCAAAATTTGCAATAGATTTTTGAGACCAAATTTTATCTAGTCAAAGAAGTTTAAGTACTGCACTTAATTCTTCTATTTGTGCAATTTGATGTCGTGATTGTCTGATTTCATTTTTTGAAATTTCTACATTTGAAATTTTTAAAATTATATTTTATTGTAATATTTTAATCAAATAAGTTTTAAAAAGTTGGTTATTGTAGTTGTGTTTGTGCAGCTATAACTAGTACAGTATTTTGCAGAGTGGATTAAGGGTGGGTGGGGGAGCGCTGGGGATAGGATCCCCCAAACATAAGGGAAAAAAAGGAGAATGGGGTAAGGATGGTACTCCAAAACAGCTAATTTTCAAAATGCCATGTACCAGTTTCTATGGTCAAGCAAAACACCCCCCCCCCCCCCCCCCCCCCCCCCCCCCCCCCCCCCCCCCCCCCCCACC